AGCTCACAACAACCTCAAACTCTTGGGCTTAAGTGATTCTCTTGCCTCAGCCTCCCAAGTAGCTGGGACCGCAGGCACCTGCCACAACGCCCAGCTATTTTTTGTTGTTGTTGCAGTTGTCGTTGTTGTTTTGGCTGGCCTGGGCTCAGTTCGAACCTGCCAGCCTTGGTGTATGTGGCCGACACCCTACTCACTGAGCTACGGGCACCACCTTTTTTTTCTTTTTAATTGTTAATATTGTTATCTTCACTATTTTTTTCCTTCAAATATTTTTGATCCATGGTTGGTCAAATCTGCAATTGGTTGAATCTGCAGATAGGGAACCTATGGGTACAGAGGCCCACGGCACAAGCAAACCGTGCTAGTGGGCAGGTGACATAGTCCCACTGACGGAGGTGAACAGAATTCACAGCGTTGGAACCGGGAATGGAGAGGAAGAAGGATTTTGATATGCAGGTCAAGGTTGAGAGGAAGAAAGAATTAACTTAGAGTGTATAAAATCAGAAAAGAAACTTGGTGTTTTGGTGGGTCTAGACTTTTACTTTTGGAAGAATCTGGTGGGAGATGAACTAAAAACAACTGTGGGGCAGAATGTGGGGACTGTGAATATGAGTCTACGAAAATTGTGTATTGTTGGCAAGGGGAATCCACTGGTAGTTATTTTTTGTCTATGGACCATGTTTTGAGTTCATTTGAAATAAAAACACAAATTCTTCCAGATCTGTGGTTTTTTTATTGTCCGATTTCCTTCCAGTCACTGCCCGTAGGAATCCATGCTTCTTATGTAGTTAAACGTTTTATAGCTGTTTATTTCTATTTGCGTGTTTTATTTTATAATGTAAGGATTATTTCATGTTGCTGAGCTCATTCTAGTTTTTTTTAAAGGTGATGTGCACTTTTTTCTGTGTTTGGGAAGCTGACATGAGCAGTGAACAAAATGTAGGCAAGGGGACGTACTAAGGAGACTCTTGTCATAGTGCTGCTGAAAAATGACAAGTATTATGCTAAGTCAGCCGTAAGAACGGAGATTGACCAGGAGAAGAGGGTCAGATGTAACCTGGGCGCTCCTGAATTCTAGCCTAGATTAGCGTGCATTTCATCAAGCTTCCGTTACTGATTATTTTTCCAGAAGAGCAGTCATCCATCAAATCATTTTGAATTCGGGTCACTTGTGATGGTGACAGTTTGAAATAATCCGTCAATTTCTCTGCTTGTGTTCAAAATAGTATTTATCAAGCCTTCAGTCAGCCCCTTTAGCTAATTAATCTCTTGATATGAATTTTGCAATCAAGACCTAATTAGAGCTCTATTTTCCTTCTTCTGTGCGTCTTCAGGAGAGGGATCAGGGATTTATGTGAAAAGCATCATTCCCGGCAGCGCTGCCTTCCACGACGGCCACATTCAAGTCAATGACAAAATTGTTGCTGTAAGTAACGGTCCTGCGTTTTGGATTTGAATCCAGTTCAAAAGAAGGTTGATTTTGAAAATAATACATGGATGTGTGAGAGGAGGACAGCTTCACATAGGTGACACAACAGCACTCTACCGAGGGCGATAAACTGAGACTCTGTCTCTTAAAAAAAAACCAAACAAAAAAAATTGAACTTGTTGGCTCGGCGCCCGTAGCACAGTGGTTATGGTGTCAGGACATGCACCAAGGCTGGAGGTTCGAACTTGGCCCAGGCCAGCTAAATAACAATGACACCTGTAACAAAAAAATAGCCAGGCATTGTGGCAGGTGCCTAAGGCAAGAGAATCACTTAAGCCCAAGAGTTTGAGGTTGGTGTGAGCTGTGACACCATGGTACTCTACCCAAGGGTGACACAGTGAGACTTTGAGAAAAAAAAAAAAAAGACTTATTAGTATTGTGAAATCACATTAATTTGAGCTCTTATGGTCCTAAATTTGATTTTTTTTTCACTGTCAGTGAAGAAAGGATTCACTAAGAGCATTGGCAGGACAAATAAATTATGATTATATAATTGTTATGTATTTTATACATGCATATGTATTTGAAAGATGATCTGGAATTCTCCTAGAGAACACTTTCCAGGTTCCTCTTTGTGTTCTTCAAATGCACTCATTTTGTTTACAATTAATAAACTATTGGGCGGTGCCTGTGGCTCAAAGGAGTGGGCACTGGCCCCATATACTGGAGGTGGCGGGTTCAAACCCGGTCCCAGCCAAAAACTGCAAAAATAAACAAACTATTAACTAGCTTTTTTCATCTCTTTGTGAAAGTAGTTTTTCTACAAATAATAATTTTGAGTACACCCCAAAATAAAATATTTTAAACATTTGACAACATACATAATTATCAATTAAAACTGATCTCTCCCCCATCTAGTAGAAATTAATTGAACTTCTGTGTAGTAGAATCTATACACACATACATATATAAGTAGATAGGAATATGTTGCTTTACATAAAAACACACTTTGGGTGATATGATTTGAATCTTCATCCTTCAAGTCCGTCTAAGGAGCAGAATTTCATGACTCTTGGCATTGATGCTGATGGGCTCAGGACATGTCTGGCCATGCTGCAGAGTCTGTGGGCCAGAGCTCACAGTGGCCATGCTGCAGAGTCTGTGGGCCAGAGCTCATGGTGGATGCCCTGGAGAAAATACATGTTCAGGTGCTTAAGGCTGGAGAAGGTTGAGAGGGGTCCTGATTCAGAAATGTGGACTTGAGCTTGGTTTAGAAAAAGAACACCTTTTCTTGCACAGACTTCAGTTAGAAGACCTATTGGAGGGAGATCAGTACATTTCTTTGGAGAATAGTATATACTGATGTAGAAGAAAGAAGTATCAAATGCTGTCTGCAGTTTTGATGACAACGGCTTTCATTAACACATCTTTTTTTTTCTTTGAGACAGAGCCTCAAGCTGTCCACCTGGGTAGAGTGCTGTGGCATCACAGCTCATAGCAACCTCCAACTCCTGAGCTCAAGCGAGTCTCCTTTCTCCGCCTCCCAATTAGCTGGGACCACAGGCGCCCACCACAACGCCTGGGTATTTTTTGGTTGCAGCCGTTATTGTTGTTTGGTGGGCCAGGCTGGATTTGAACCCACCACCTTAGGTGTATGTGGCTGGCGCCTTAGCCACTTGAGCCACAGGTGCCGAACCTTATTAACACATCTTGAGAGCTGTGTGTAAAAACTGACCATCTTTTATGGCATTCTGAATTTTGAATAGCATCAGGTGAAAACCCTTTACCTGCGAGTTAAAACGTCTGACTCAAGAGCACAAGTTTGCTTTAGCTTTGTAGTGTGGAAGGAAGCTTGTCAGTATGTCTCAGTGCTAGTTTTACATCCTGATTTAAAAGTATGTTCCAAAGTCTAATATGAATCATTTTTGGAATAAAATGCATTACCTCATATTACCTAGCCTTGTAAGAATTAAAAATAGGGGCAGTGCCTATGGCTCAGCTGATAGGGCACTGGCCCTGTATACTGACGGTGGTTGGTTCGAACCCAGCCCGGCCAAACTGTGACAAAAAAATAGCCGAGCGTTGTGGCGGGTGCCTATAGTCCCAGCTACTCGGGAGGCTGAGGCAAGAGAATCACCTAAGCCCAGGAGTTGGAGGTTGCTATGAGCTGTGTGACGCCACAGCACTCTATGGAGGGCAGTAAAGTGAGATTCTGTCTCAAAAAAATAAAAATTAAAAAAAGAAAGAATTCAACTCGTAGCTACCCGGGCAGAACCTGTGGCTCAAAAGAGTGGGACACAGGCCCCATATACCAGAGGTGGATGGCCCAGCCCTGGCCAAAAACTGAGGAAAAAAAATAGTAGCTCACCTTAAGCCTTCAGTGTTTCTCTTGCTGTTTTAGGTTGATGGTGTAAATATTCAGGGTATGGCCAACCAGGATGTTGTGGAAGTGCTACGGAACGCAGGGCAGGTGGTGCACCTGACCTTGGTTCGCAGGAGGACGTCCTCATCTGCTTCTCCACTTGAACGGCCTCCAGACAGAGGTAATCAGTTTCCCCACCCCCTTTCCCATATGTTGCATATGTTTAGACAAATAAATTGCCCGCCTTGTGTAACTCACAAGCAGAGAAATGGTAAGTGCATTGGAGAAGTGTTTCCTCTTCGTGTATGTGTTATAACATGACAGTCCATCTGTTCGCCTGGGCACCTGAGGTGCACTAGGCTCACGGAGCTCTAAATGAATATGGAAATCATTTCCCCAAACACCTTCTAAATTTTTTTTTGAGACAGCCTCAAGCTGTGCCCTGGGTAGAGTGCCGTGGCATCACAGCTCACAGCAACCTCCAACTCCTGGGCTCAAGCGAGTCTCCTGCCTCTGCCTCCCAAGTAGCTGGGACCACAGGCGCCCACCACAACGCCCGGCTATTTTTTGGTTGCAGCCATCATTGTTGTTTGGTGGGCCCGGGCTGGATTTGAACCCACCAGCTCAGGTGTATATGGCTGGCGCCTTAGCCACTTGAGCCACACCTTCTAAATTTTGCTCCTTGTAGTTGAATAATAAAGCCTTTTGTTCCAGAGGCTCTCGTTTGTCTAATGCTTTGACATTTTGCAGACTTCAAGTTTTACAGTATTTTTAACAGTATAGTTTATTCTAATCTATCTCTTGATTTCTTTTTTTGAAGTACCCTGAGAGCAAATAAAACATCAATTTCTGTCAAAAACATCTTTATTCATAAAATAATATTTGCATTATTTTGGTTAGAAGAGTAGTAAATCTTCATTATAGATCAAATATGTAATTGTGTGCATGTCAGTTTTTTGTTTGGAAATAGGGTATCTCTTTGTTCCCCAGCGTAGAGTACAGTGGTGTTATCAGCTCACTGTAACCTCAGACTTCTGTGCCCAGGAGATCTTCCTGCCTCAGCCTCCCGAGTACCTGGGACTACAGAAGAGCTCTATCCTAGCTCCATCCTGCTGGGCTAAAGTTTTTTTTTTTTGAGATAGAGTCTCACTTTGTCACCCTCGGTAGAGTGCTGTGCTGTCACAGCTCACAGCAAGCTCACACTCTTGGGCTTAAGCAATTCTCCTGCCTCTACCTCCCAAGCAGCTGGGACTACAGGCGCCAGTCACAACGCCTGGCTATATTTTGTTGTTTTTGTCATTGTCATTTAGCAGCCCCGGGCCGGTTCTAACCCAACACCCTAAACACTGACCTTGACCTAGGGGCACCGAGGCAAGCTTGGCTAATTTTTAATTTTTTTTGTACTGATGAAGTCTTGTTACTGTTGTTCAGGCTGGTCTTGAACTTCTGGCTACAATAAATCCTTCTGCCTCCTGAGGTGTTAGGACTATAGGGTGTGAGCCACTGTACCCAGTTATCAATTTTTGAATTATCAACTTACAAAAGTGTAGGTCAAGGCCAGGTGCCGTGGCTCACACATGTAATCCTAGCACTCTGGGAGCCCAAGGCAGGGGGACTGCCTGAGCTCAGAAGTTCAAGACCAGCCTGAGCAAGAGAGAGACCTCACCTTTACTAAAAATAGAAAAATGAGCAGGCCTTGTGGTGGGCACATTTTTCTGAAGGTACAAGAAGTCTGGAAGCCTTTGCTTTCAACTGATACTGGTTTGTATTTCAATTGGATCTTTTTATGTTTTATGTGATAGTGGAAATTTTACTGCTGAAAGACGGATACCCTGTTAAGTGCACTGGATGTATAAAATGTAAAATTGCCTAAATAGCACAAATACTTTATTGACCTTAAAAGGTTTACATAAATATTTATGTAAATATAATGGTTTTTAATAGCTCTGATGGAGGCTTTGGCTTCAATTACTATTCCAAATGAATACGGGCATGTCCAGTATCTGCAAATGAGCATTTCTTTCTTTTCCTTTTTTTTTTTTTT